CAGTGCTCTTAAGCTCTGAGCCAGCTCTCCAGCCCCTGATGGGTCTGCCATCTTTGATAGTTAGAAGAAGTGTCCAGGCTGAGTTTCTAAACTCAGCTTTGAAGTATCCATTCTTCACACTTGTGACCAGAGGGTGACAGCTGAGTTGAGCAGCTCTGTCCAGGCTGAGTTTCTAAACTCAGCTTTGAAGTGTCCATTCTTCACACTTGTGACCAGAGGGTGACAGCTGAGTTGAGCAGCTCTTATGGACAGCATTTCTGCACTCTGGGGTTCATCTATTGACATGTTCTCTGTCTGGTTTCTTCTTGCCTTGTATTATTATTTTTAAACTTTAAATTTTATGTCTGAGTGCTCTGCATGTATACTGCATACCAGAAGAGGGCATCAGACCCTGTTATGGATGGTTGTGAGCCACTATGTGGTTGCTGGGAATTGAGATGGAACCTCTGGAAAAACAGCCAGTGCTCTTAACACACTGAGCCATCTCTCCAGCCTATTATTATTATCATCATTTTATTATTATTATTATTATTATTGTTATTATTTATTATTATTGTTGTTGTTGTCGTTATTATAAGTTTTTTCCTGCATGGATGTCTGTGCACCATATGCATGCCTATTATTATTATTAATTTTGTTATTGTTTATTATTATTGTTGTTGTTGTTATTATTATAAGTTTTTTCCTGCATGGATGTCTGTGCACCATATGCATGCCTGGTGCCTGGTGCCTGCAAAGGGCAGAAGAGGACATTGGATGTCCCTGGAATTGGAGTTACAGTGATTGTGGTTGCTGAGAATTGAACCCAGATCCTCTGGAAGAGCAGCCAGTGCTCTTAACTGCTGGCACCGCTCCAGCCCCTTGTGTTGTTGTATTTTGTTGACAAGCATTACCAAGGACTCCTGAATCAGCTCCCCTGTCTGGGCAGGGGCTTGGGGGTGAGGTCAAGAGCACAGCTGTGGGAATGTTATCAGTCCTTTCTCACTACAAAGAAGGATGGAGGATGGCTGATGTGAACGCAAGGGAGGCTTGACACCCTGCCCAAATAACCTGCTTTATAGCCCATGCTGGCTTTGAACTGGTGATCCTCCTACATTGACCTCCTGAGTGCTTGGGTTATAGGCATGAGCTACAGAGCAGGACTGGGGGGTGCATTTAAAATAAAGGGAACATTGCAGAGGTTCTGATGGCAGGGACGTGTCAGCTTCAGTAGCAGTCATCTTAGGGCAGGGTTCTGGGCCTGTCCCCGGGGAGTGGGGTGGTCTGGTCTCTATTGGGGCCTCCTATGTGCCATGCAGTGGCTCACATGTTTGCTGGCCCCTCCTTGCCAGAACCTAGCAGTCTTTCTTAGACTCACTGTGTTCTTGGGGCAGAGAGATCTGGAGGTGGGAAGTGAAGCAGCTACTCTAGGTTTTAGCCAGACTCACACACTACTCTCTTCAGGCTCTTGGTAGCAGAACTGTCCCTGGGATGTGAGTTGATCCTGACAGGACAACCCACAGTTCCTTTCAGATGAGCTAAGGCGACGTGACAACAAGGCAGTCACATTCTCACTGCGTGTGTGCACATGCCAGCTCCCATGAGAAGATGCCATCCACTGTCTCTTGGCTTCCTGAGATGGTGGAATGAGTGACAGGATTGGAGTGAGGAGAAGCACCCTTCCTGACATCCCTGATCTCCTGGCTAAAACAGAAGAACTGGAACCCCTGAGAGGAGGGATGGGGGCTGCCACGGAGCTAGAACACAAGAAAGGCCAGGGTCAAGGGTACATCTGGGTATATAAGAACTTGGGAGCATGCATAGGCCCAGAGCCTTGAACCCCACTCAACAAAGTCTAAGACCAGAGCGGTAGAAGGCAGTCAGTGGGAGATGGGGCAGTTCATAGGTGGTGGAGCTGGTAGGGGTGGATAGGACCAAACCCCAGCTCTACCTCTAGCTGACCAAGTGACTTGGGGCCAACCTCACCCCTTTGGACCTGGGTTCCCTATTGGTGCTATGAGGGGGTTATCTGGAAGGAGAATGACGAAAGTAAAAGAGTGGTGAGGTGAACAAAATAAAGGCCAAGGATGTGTCTGGGCCATCAAAGGTCTCCCTGAGAGGCAGAGGCAAGGATATCACTAGCCCTTCCCAGTCACGTGGGCATCCTGCGTGCTTGGATAATGTCATTTGCCAAACACAGGCATCCTATTCATCTCATCTGCTACTCTGTCTCCTTGGAAATAGGGTCTTGGTACAACCTAATATGTGATCATATTAGTCTAGGCTAGGCTCTAAATCCACTGTAGCTAATGCCCTAAATGTAAAAGGAAGGGAAATGCGGCCAGAGTGGTGACTCAGTGGTTAGAGCTACTCTTGTAGATGACCCAGGTTTGGTTCCCAGCACCCACCTGGTGGCTCACAACCAACCATCCATAATTCTAGTTCCAGGGGATCCAATGCCTTCAACTACTCTCTGTGGGCACATGGTATAGACACACACACACACACACACACACACACACACACACACACACACACAGGCAAAATACTCACAAAATATTTTTTTTAATTGAAAGAGATGGGAACTGGGCACAGAAACACACCCTCAATGGGAAGGTGATATGCAGAGGGGCAAACCCTGTAGTTATGAGGCTTCTGGAGACGGGCCCTACAGATGCCCACATCCACAGGAAACTGGAGTAGATAAGTAAATTCCTCTCCAGAGCCTTCAGAGAATGCCAGGCCCTGCCCACCCTGGATTCCAGACTTGGCCAGAACCAAGAGAGTAATCTCTGTGGTGGTGAGCTCCCTATTTTGAAGTGGTTTGTCTCAACAATTCTAGGAAATGAACCTACCATCTAAACCCTAGAGAATGCCATGTTGCTCCATCCCATACACATCAGGAAAGACCAAGTCCCTGGGAGAGGGGCATCAACTTGTCCAAAATCACACCACAAGCCACAGCTGAGCCAGATTGGAACAAAGGCTCTGCACTCTTGAACAGAGTGTACCACCTTTGCCATTTGTAGATGGTGGCCTCCTGTAATATCATCTTGAGCTTTAGTCGTTCTCTTCTCTCTCTCTCTCTCTCTCTCTCTCTCTCTCTCTCTCTCTCTCTCTCGTTTTTCGAGACAAGGTTTCTTTGTGTA